TTTTTTTTGCTGTTAACCGTCGACAAGTTTAGCGCAAAAACGCGTGATCTCATCTGTAAGCCTGGTACGTTGCATCCTGGGTTTTGTGTGGGCTCCGAATTCGAATGCAGCAGACCCTTTTATAATTTCATTCTACTCATCCGTGCGTGGAAATTGAATTAAATTTCTAGGATCGGGCACGAACATAAATTATCTCTGTAAAATTTCAATTGGCTGGGGTGTCTTTGAAGTTTCGTTTTCACGTTCTATAGATGAGGCCCAAGCATACATGAATATGTAGAATTTAAGTTGGCGAGATCAGACATGTGCAGGAACAGCCATCCTAAAATTTCAGTTTCCTAACTTCTGTGATGGCTGAGTTAAAAAATCCGGTTGAATATTCAAACGTACAAAATGAGGCGTTGTTTTGACACTGAAATTTAGTACTAAAAACATGCTTGCAGGGTTTGGCGAAGACATAGCTTGGGTGAAATGGGAGGATGCCGTTGAGACAGCCATGGAGGCAAACAAACCAATTTTCTTACTAATCCACAAATCATGGTGCCACGCATGTAAAGGTGAGTTATACTTTTTTTTTTATTCTACTAGTGTACCGGTTTGTTTATGTTAATAAAAAAGGGATGAAAACGTCACAGAAATACAAACTGGTTACTTGAAAGCCGAACATGCTTGATCAGTCAGCTAGCTAATACCATTGCTTCGAGAAGGCTACTCGTTTCTATATGCTACTAAAGCGCATTATCCTGTAATTTATAAATTTCAGCACTGAAAAAGACATTCCAGCAATCGAATGCTCGGAAAGCGTTCAAAAAACTGTCCGAGTATTTCGTTATGGTGAATACGGAGGACGACGAAGAACCGTACGAAGAAGAATATAGGCCTGACGGAAAATATATCCCACGCGTACTATTCCTTGGTTAGTAACTAACTGGCTTTTTCGATCGCGTTATCAGGCTTCAAATTATTATAAGCTCTGAAACGAGTTTTTTTATGCGTTTTTGCATATATGCAAATGCAAAAACACATATTGCGACGACCCCGGTGTGCGTGTGGATGCGTGTGTATGCATCTGTTCGGGTATTCCAACTCGGCACCAAAGCAAGCTCCGGCGCCAAAATTTCGCGAGAGGGTTTCCCGGCCAAGTG